CCGCCGCCGCAGTAGGCGTTGTCGAAGAAGCGGTCGAAGGCTTGAGGCAGGACGCTGTTCTTGTTGACGGAGGAGTAGAAGCCCGCGGGGGCTGCGTGCGGGGCGCTGGGGTGGTGGTGGCCGCCGTAGGAGCCTTCGTTTTTCATGAGGATCTCGGTGACGGTGGAAGGAGGCAGGCACTCCCGGTGCATGAGCTCGTCGGCCGCCGCATAGCAGGAGGAGTAGCTGTTGCGGTGGTGCCACTTGCCGGAGGGCTCCAGGCCGTAGGAGACCTCGCGGACCGGGGGCACTTGGGCGGAGTAGGGGTAGGAGATCTGGCGAGAAGGGGCCTGGGGCAGGAAGGAGGAGACCGTGGAGAACTCGGGCATGTAGTAAGTGCAACTGGGCAGGTAGAGGTTGGAGGCGCAGCTCCCTCGCTCCCCGAAATCAGCGCCCCTGTCCTTGCGCGACGGCGAGCAGAAGTTGCCCAGGTTGACCGAGTTAAACATCGTTCTCTTCTCCTGCCGGCTCCAGATGGACGTTTTGGACCCGGTCTTGCGAGGGGGGAAAATTTGGGAAGGCGAGATGACGCGTTATCCGTCTTAGTCTCTCTCCCCGAGCACGTGATCCAAAGTAGATATTGTCATATATCAGTTCGGAGCACTTCGCAGACGTAGGAGGGGTTCTCTCTTAGGTAAGATGGGGACGTTCAGGCGATTGGTTTGCAAACACCGCAGAAACATTATGAAAATCAATTGCAGATTTGTATTCGTTTTTTCTCTCTCACTCCCCTCCTCTCCATTCCACAGAGCAAGCAAAGGAGGAGAGAGAGGGTTAGGGTGGGGTGGGCGGTGGGATGGGCAGGGGCGGTGGCTGGGAGGGGGTAAATGTATTTTTCCTAGCTGCTGCTCTCTTTTCCCCAGGATTGGGGGAAGGAGGAGGGCTCTCACGCAAGGGGTTCTAGCCTCCTCCCCCTCCTTCAGCAGAGACTAGGATGGGGATGAGGACCTCTCCCCACTGCCTGGTCCCGCCAGAGATGTTAATCGTTCACCCCCAACTCTCAGGGACTCGCAGCCCGCCAACCGGAGAGGGGCCAGCGCCTACTTGGAAGAGTTGGAATAAATCAATTATTTTTCCCCCCTCCCCGCCAGGACTGGGTGTCAAGACTACCTTTTCCCTTTGGAGAGACTCCTCAGAAGAGTATCAGAAGTTTCTCAAAGGTGAGGCAGCCCAGTAGCAAGCCAATGTTCCAACTTTGTCTGGCTCGCTGTGCTGCGGCAGCTAGGGACTTAGATTAGTCATAAAGGAGTGGAAAGCAGTGCGCCAGCCGCCCAGCCGGTGCCTGGCAAAGTCTGGGAAAAACCGTCTCTAATGTTGTGTTAAATATTTAGTATGAGAGAGTGGCCCTGGGTGAATATTTCATGCCTGACTTTATTGTCAATCAATGCACAGAAAGCTACCTCCACGGTGGATTTTTTAAATCTCAAACCCCAAAGAAGAAGGTTGGAATGAGTGCCGTGTATCTTCTCTTTGGGTTGGGGGCTCAGCCTCCGCTTGGGGGCTGAAAAGAAGACGAATGTCGGGGGTTCCGGAAGGATATGGTTGCGGGACTAGGTTTGGGGCTCTTCTCCTTAGATGATTTGGGACTGAGAGGTGGGTGGTGTGGCCAGATACGGGTCTCCAGACAGACCAGCAGGGCAGTGGAAGGGAGCTGAGGAACCTGGGCAGGCAAGGCAGCGCCTGGGGCCACTCCCTAGTGGAAGCTCCCAGCCCTGCTCCCAGGGGCCGCAGCCAGGCCTTGGTGCCGCCTTCCTGTTTCTCAGACCTGCCCTGCCTTCTTCCACCAGGTCTGCCAGCCTTCTGGATGGCTGTGGCCCAAGGGGTGGCCTCAGTGGTTCTGCCCTCCCTGGCCTCCCATCCCTCTGGGCACCACAGGACACATTGGTCAGCTGAAAAGCACTTTATTGAAAGGTTCTGGACTGGGTCCAAGGGGCTGGAGCAACTGTCACGAGCAGAGAGCAACCTTGGATCCAAGGAGGAGCTGTCAGAGCATGATTTGTTCTGGTAGGAGGGGAGGAATTGAAGCCCCCAAAAGACTCAGCTCATTGCACTCAGGGAACAGCCAGGAATGACCCAAATTATCTTTACACCCAAATTTGGATTAAAATTTGTTTCCATTTGTAAAATATCATTTGGATTTGATTTTCCTTGCTGAGCATGATGAAGTACTGAGGCCCCGGAACCAGATGTGGAAGACACAAACACAGTGCCTTGTCCCCAAATACAACCCCCCAAAATCTATTCCTTCTTACCCCCCCCCCCTGCCTTCCCAAATTTGCTCAGTCTTTAGAGCAGCATCTGGGGTGGAACTGCCTCCACCGTGGGTCTCCTTCTTGGGGTGGCTCTGGAATACCCAGGGATAAGACTCTGGCACCCTCTGCCCATTTGTCCATCGCTGCCTTCTTACCCCCCCCCCTGCCTTCCCAAATTTGCTCAGTCTTTAGAGCAGCATCTGGGGTGGAACTGCCTCCACCGTGGGTCTCCTTCTTGGGGTGGCTCTGGAATACCCAGGGATAAGACTCTGGCACCCTCTGCCCATTTGTCCATCGCTGACTAAAAGGCCCTTTTTTTGTCCTGACTAGATCTTAACTGCGGGCAAAGAGGAAGTAGATTGGGGCTTTGCAGAAGTGTTGGACTGCTTCATTGCTAAGGGGCTCCAAAAAGAAAAATCTGTTGTTTTTCCTCCTTTTTTCTTTTTTACCCCCTTTTATAGGTGACTTCTCTATCGGTAAGGGGCTGCAAAAAGAAAAATCTGTTGCTTTTCCTCCTTTTTCTATCCCCTTTTATAGGGTGAGCTGGGGCCAGCGTTTTTAATTATAATGATGGGGAACTATGGACTATGGCTTTTATGGGGTTCATAGTGACCTCATTAAACCTGAGTTTATAGAAGGCAAAATGTTCCCCAAACAGTGATAGGAACCAGCAAGAGGTTGGTGAGAGATACCACTATTCCTTGCAGAGATGTGGATGAGGGTTCAGAGTCTCAGCTTTGGATTTCCACTTTCTCCCAGGGTCCTGCTTTCTTCCCCATCCTGGCCTCCAGGGCAACGTGGGGCCCAAGCCCCCAAGGCAAATTCTGCACCACCAGGGCCGACAGTGGGGAGGGGGTGCGCTTCCTGTGAGGAGACAGCTGTGGGCCTGAGCACTTGAATTTGACCACCAAAGTTTATTCCAGGGCCACCATAAAAGTGAGCCAGGCAGCTGCAAGTTGCTGCTGGCAGCTCTATTTCCTTGAAACAAAAAAGAAAGACAGAAAAGAATGTCCAAGGAGTTGATGTCCAGGAAACTCTAGGGCCTCCCAACAGAGGCTTCTGAAAATAATATTCTTCCTCCTAAAAGTAAGGCATCAAGTTCCTTTTTTTTTTTTCTTTTTTCGAGTTTTGGTCTGACTTAAATTTTCAACAACTTAAAAAAAAAACCCCAGCAACTGGAGGTTGGTGCTGAGGTCAAGGAGAAAAGGCCCTTGCCACTGAGATCAGCAAAGAATTGATTGGCAAAAATGCCCATGATATGGGCTATGGACCTCGACTTACCTGCCTGGCCCTAGGTCTAGACCGCTCCTAAACATAGACTGAGCTGCCTGCCCCAGGCTGCACCCCAGGGCATCAGACCTCCCACAACATGAGACCCATCCGTGGCCCCAAATCTGTTCCCAAGAACCTAGTAAGCCCCACTGCCTGGAGTGGAGGTGGCTTTTTCTTTCTGGTCTCAAGGTGCCTGTGGCCCCTCCACCATCCTGGGGTTCCAGCTTTCACATGAAATCCTCCTCCTCCTCCGCAGGGTCATCCTGCCCACCCCAGGGCTCTTGATGGCCTCAGTAAGCACTGCCTGCCTGCCCGCTCGCAGGCAGCTGCGGTCTGGGCAGCTGCCTAGGTACTCTGGCCACTGGCCAGGGCTACGAACTCCAGCACGCTTCTTTTCCACACATGGACACCAGAGACAGCTTCAGAAGGGGGCAGCATCTCCCACATTCCAGCCGGGGAGACCCCAGGGCAGCATCCTCCCTACAGCCCAGGCTGCCTTGCAGCTTGACCACCTCCTCCTGCTGTCTGGCCTCTAGAATGGGTTGTGGAAGGGAAAGGGGACCACCCCACCGACCTTGAACTGGGAGGAAAACCAGGGCCTGGTAGAGCTCTGGTGGGCTTGAATTATAGATTTGGTCCCCGCCGGGTAGAATCAATAAAGAGATAAACAATAAGCACATGGACACTCTCAGCGATTCAGAAGCTGGGTTGCCAAGGATGCACCCTCATTAGAAATCGGCTTGCATCTTTTTGCACATATTTCTCTTTTTTAGAGCAATACTGGCTGTTTAATAATCCTTTTAGTATGCTTGGGGATTTTCAGGCCAGCGGTTTATTCTGCACTGGGGACACCTCCCACCCCCCTCTAGGGAACTAGAAGGGGATAGGACTGCCGGTTCTTGGCCCCCACCTCTCCTCAGCCCTGGCCATTACCCCAAGCCCAAAGCCCAAGTCAGACCACCTAAACAGATGGATGCTGCTGCGCTGGCCCCTGGACAGGATCAGGGGAGGGAGAAGGGCAGCTCCTCTGCCCCTGAAGCCCCACCCACCTTTCTCAGCGGAGGGATTGTCCCAGGAGGCTAGCAATGCGACCCCATTTCTCCCCATAAAAGTCCCATTTTACGAGCTAGTTTCACTGGCCCCCTCACCAAATGCTCTGAAATGAAGGAAATGTCTTAAAAGCAGGCTGGAAATGGAGCAACTACCTTTGGATCTTGGTTTTCCCAACCCAGTTGCAGCAGCACAGAAAATGCTTTTTCTTCTGTGCAGGATGGCCCTGCTGGGCCACTGGAGCAGCGCTCAGGGCTCCAGGTGGAGCGGTGGAGCGGAGGCCTGGTTGGACGGGACACCATTCCGGGACTTTAGCGCCTACTTAGGCTCGGACCCAGTTCTCCAGATCAAAGTGAGCTCTCGGCATTTTTATGAGATCAACCCAGTGGCTCTTTACTTGTAATCAGATGCCTGGGTCGAAAATGCAAAAGGGAACAGCCCATCAATCCAAAAAGGAAAAGGAGAGAGAAAGAATTCAGGTGACACATAGCAAGGAGATTCAGTCACCAATAAAAAAGACCCTTTGCCTGCAGCCAGAATGGTTTGTGGGTCTGTCCCAGCCTCCAGGCCCTCCCATCTGCCTGCACATTTCACCCTATTTCCTGAGCCCGGGAGCCTAACTCCCCTGTTTTCTGAAGTTTGATTCAAAAGCTTCTACAGTGTGGACACGCCACCTGGGGCCAGTGTGGCCGCCTGCACCCCCTAGCCCCAGTGCGGAAGTCGCCTTCTGCTCATGATTGAAAAGTCTTCCCCATTTTGCTGCTTTCCTCTCTGCGGTCTCTGGGCACTAGGGCCAGAAGTTGAGTTACAGGAAGATTCGCCAGAGATTTATCGCTGGCCCCAATCTTGGAAAGCCTCGTTGTCATAAACAGCCATCTATTGTCTAGACTTTTATCTCTGGGTATGGATCGTGCATTATTGAGGCTCAGGAGACACGGGCCTGGCTCTGTGGGGTGTGTGTGCAGCTGAGTGCTCATTCCTCCCACCAAGGGTTTCTCTGGTGGGTCTAGGAGTGCGCACAGCTTTGTGCTTTGTGCGTGCTGGGCAGGCACACCTGAGTGTCCACGGGTGGAGACCCGACATGGGGAAGGCCTCTTTG